GGCTCGCCGGGATTTAAGGCATCGGCAAAAACAGATCGACCTCTCCGAACACCACCACGCGCGGGCACATGTCCACGCGCTGCGTCTTCGCAGCTATTCAAAAACTGCTGCGCCGAGTCGTTGTTATCCGAAAGCAAGCGTTCCATCTGGCTCAGAACGTTGTCGTCAGTCATCAGCTGCGCATTTCCCATCAAGCGAAAGAAGCCTTCGAGATGCAGAAAAAATCTTTTGCATCTTGCCAGTGTGCCCTGCGGTGGAATGCCGCGATGGATCGCAAAGGCCCCCGAATGGAAAAAATATAAATTTCCGTTGTGACACCGCATGTGACTCTCTCCTTCGACAACCCACAGCAGCAACACCATTTCCCTGACGTGCATGTCCGTGAGCCTGAGACGATACACAGACAAGGCGCCAATAGTCACGCGCAGGACCTGCTCGTTCAGCCCTGGAAACTGCTGCAGAATCTGGTTCCGCAGTCGCCTGACTTGCTCCGGTATACTAAGCTCATGCGCCAGGTGCATGCGCTGGACGTTCGCGAAAGAGTTGTCAGCACGATCACGCAAGGCGGCAAAGGTGGCTGCAAAATCTGATGCTGTGGTATCGGCTCCTGGCAACAATCTCCTCTTGCGTGCAACTCCCAGTACATCATCCGACCGTTTGCTTTCACTCTCCTGCATAAACAGCACTTCTTCCACCATTTCTTCCAAGTCCTGTGTGAGATTTGGCTCATGGTCTTTCGCTGAGGCCGCGTCATCTTGCTCAGGAGCTGGGAATTCCGCAATGTCCATCTCGTCATCCTCATCCGGACGATTACCGAATTCTGGCATGAGACTTTCTTCTTGCGAGGCACCCCCGCATACATCCACAACAGCGTTTCCGAGCGGCGCCCGAACTCTGGAAGCCTTGTCACTGTCACTGTATGTCGGGCAGCACAGCGGGGACACGCCTCCGAACATTGTCTGCTCTGCCTTCACAGAGCCTCCGACATAGTCTGCAAGCAATGCTGGACATCGAGGACACTGCCTCCATGGCAACTCGCCGACATGACGAGCGCATGACCATGTGGAACATCTTGGACAGATGCACCACTGCGGAAACAGAAGACTCTTGTCTGCATGACACACAGCGCAGCGAATCTGGGCATTCAGCATGACAGGACTCGGCTGTGGAGTGACGTTCATCAACTTATGCTGCATCTCACCGGTTTGATGGCCTCTTGTAAAGCTCCAGATAAATAGACGAGATAAAGGCGGAGCTGCAGCCGGGCCGGGCCCTGAAGATCTTGCATTGAGTCTGTGCCCATTCATGATCAACTCGAAACGATCCTGTTGCCAAGACAGCAGTACGCGGTTCGGCTGCTCTGCTAAAAGAACATGTGGATTGCTCAGCTGATGAGGCACCGGGGCACTCCCGCCCAGCGAGATTGACCAAATCATGCCAGCGCCAAACACATTGTCGACTCTGACGTAAGACCTCCTGGTGGAAGACCAGTCTTTGACGCCTATGTACAGGCCGGTCACGGTGGAGGGAACGACGAGGTCAAAGTGCGCATAGCCCATGAGGGGCTGCCTCGACACGATGCCATAAAAGCTTTGTGTTCCCATTTCCGCGGGCGGACTGGCTTCAGCATCCCACATTAGTCTGAGATTGTCTGGGAACCGAAGGAACATGCTGAGCTGCACCAGGTTTACATTGATGCTGCGGGATCCGTCCCACAAATCGGCCATTCTGCGCAAGAGCGCTACATCCTGGAACTCGATGTTGTCAATAAATATATTCTTGTTTCTCCACAGCCTCCGATCTCGCACTCCAGCAAGCAAGGTTCGAGAGACTGCGGCCAGGGCTCCCAAATACCTGTAAGAGAAGAAATGCCCAGGCAAGGCTTTCAGAATCTCTTCAGGCATGGAGCAAACTCTGCCAGGGGAAATAGATCCTCCTTCAACATCCACGCGTCGATTGCTGGAGACAGTTTCCGAAGAAACATGAGAAGGTCTGTTGCTGTTAGTCACCACGCCACCGTCACCGTTCACGACCCTGATAGCACTCCGCATGTCAAGACACCATCTCTCCCAGCATCTCTTGCTGATGCTAGTATCAAAAGGAGACGGCCAAAGAGAGAAATCCACAACGTCTGCGTGTGGGATCAACTCCAGCAGGAGAACGACCTGGGCGAAGAGCCGTTTTGAGCAGCGGTCCATATCAGTGGTAGTACATCCACTTCGCTGCCTTAAGACGATGTCCCGTGGCATCGCCTGGCTTGCTGCGTGACAGTGCTGTATCGCGGAACTCAGCCAGAACCGCCAATCGCGGTCGTTGTGTGGCGAACTAAAGGGCGCTGGGAACAACGTCCAAAGACGAGGGAATGCAGTGATTTCATGAATATTCTGTAGGGCAAAGTGCTTCAGAAGCCTTACCCTGTCAAAGAACAGATATTCTCGAATTGCCTTCGCCAGGGGGTTTGGAAGTTGCGCCTGACTTCCGCCGCTAACATCGATCCAGGCCTGCAGCAGGTCTTCGACTTCTCTCTCAAGTCTCGGGACATCGTCTACGAAGGCCTGCGGATAGTGTTCAGGGTGACAGCACACTACCAACATACGTGAAACTCTGAGATTGTAATACTTCTCCAATATATGTCGATAGACGTTCAGCTGCAACCTGTAGTGCATCCCTGCGCAGTCCGCGATGTGAGAGATTGGCGGACGCATGGCCTGGTATGCTTGGTACTTTCCATGCAATCCAGAGGTGCGCTTCCAGTCGACCAACATCAAAGATCCATCGGGTAGCCGCATGCAAAAATCAATGGAACCCGCAAGCCTCTCTGCGTCCCCGAAAATAGTCCACTCGGTTCGCCAAGCCGTTGAATTTCCTGTAACGCCACGTAGGAAGGATTGCAGCATCCGAACCTCTGGCGAGACGGTGGGCACCGAGTAGCCATTGAGGAGCGCTTCGAACAAATAGTGCATATAAGTGCCATAGTGGGCCGCCTCTCGCCCGGCAGCGTTCCACATGGCCTTGATGGCATCACGAGACAACGTCAGCTGAGCAAGTTCGTCTGAGATGTCATGGTAGCAGGCGATATCTCTCAGAGCTTTGCTGATGCGACCATCATCTCTGGGGTTGCCGGCATACAAATGCAACAGGTCCGGACAATGAACGCAAAGACGGCTCATCCATGTCAAGGACACCTCATGTTTGAGGTACCCTGCCCGAGGCCAATTTCTGCCGTTCATCATCTTGCTGATGACCACATCGGCGTCAAAAGTTTGAGAGAAAGCATGAATCATTCCAGTGACTGACCCCTTCGTCTGTACGCCGTCGATGTAGTAGGTATGGTCTGATGCCTGAAAACGAATTCTGAAGTCTCTCGGGTGCGCGTGCAGGAGCTTTAGAACATCGACATTCGGCGCAGTCTCTGGGTCGAAAGCCAATGGCGAAATCGCGAAAGAAAACGAGACTGGCTGTCGAATTCTTGGCTTGAAGCCATCCAACAACGCCACTTGGCTTGCTTTCCGTTTGCAGGCCTGTAGTCTGGAATTGATCAGCCGCTCCCTCTGAGCTGCCTCCAGTGTGAGCACGCCATTGTCGCAGGATGTGCGGGAAGACCCACCAATGAAGTCACCTAGTGGGAGCAAATTGCAGGAAGGGCACAAGTCACCAGGCGTCTCCATTGCGTGGGTTTTGCAAACCCAGCAAGAGCACATGTAGCAGACTGCCCAGCGACAGCGAGATGCCCTCAGTGCTTCCTGATGGCCACAGCAGTAGCACCTCAGCAGGGGCACTGCAGAATCATGAACAAGACAGAGTACCTACGGCGTCTTTCGAATGGTTCAGTCCTACCGCCCGCCTCACCAAAGTCCCAGGATCAATGGGTGACAGCAGAGTACTGAAAGTAGGCGGCTCAGTCGCGAATGGACTTGAAATCACCCAAACGAATACTGAGGAAAATGCTCCCGGCATCTCAGCAAAACCTTCTTCAAGGTGAGCTGTACCGATTTTTTGCCTGTTCAAATACAGCTGCAATCGACTGTTGGACCACAAGAACATAAACTCATTAGCGGCGCCAGGAGGAGTCAGCAAACGGTTGACCATGTTCGATGGAAACTCCTGGGGAGGTGATCCGCTGTATCCCACAGACAGCTGACAAGAATCCTGGTAAGGAGCGGCAATCTTCATGTAAGACCTTTGGTTGCTTGCCGTCGCCTTGGCACCAATGTAGATCGCTGTTACGGTGCGTGGCACGGTCAACGAAAATCTTGCCACCCCGAAGAGCGGATGACTGCTTGTCCAACCGCGGATG